AATCTGCAGTTCACAGTCTGGTTTAGACATTGCTCCCGGGCAAGTCAATGACAAAGTCTGAGCTGGTTCATATTTCCAGGCTCAGCTTTTGAAACGAGGCCATTCCTTTCTGGGGACCTGTCTTCACTTCCTCAGTTCTTGTCATCTGTGTGAGCTGAGGGTTTTTAGCTTCTCAAGATATAAGCCACGCAGGTAGAATTACTGGGGTATTTTTCTTGGTGCTGCTACTGCACTGTAGAGTTGCCTGAAGTTTTGTTAACTTTCTCTGTCTTGGCAAGGAAATGAAATGCTTTTAATGTGTTTTAACAACAGCTAAACTTGGAGAGCTCATGTCAGAACCTGAGACAAATGCTTATATAAAGGTGCTGGTCTGCCATCAGGACACGTACTAATACACAGGTTCCATACAGAGCAGGGTTGTTTGCCTGAGGCCACGTTTATGCCTTTGCTCCCACTAGCCAGTTTGAACAAGGTTTTTTTTTTCCCTCCTCCCTCTCTCTTTCCAGCCTCACAAGGTAAATCCAGGCACATTCAGGTCTCACTGAAACATACTGTGTTTTTTACTTTCTGAATTACTTTCTGAAATTAGAGTTTGCCTTAACCCCCCGGTGATGTTCTTGGTTTTCATGGCTCATGATGCTGCTGGAAGGTGAGCGCGGGAGCACGTGGCTGCACTGCTGCGAGGCGGTTTGGATCGAAGATGGATGGTTTGCCAGGCTACGGGGAGCTGAAGCTGAGTTTGTGACTCTTAAATATCAGCCTGTTTCCTTTCCGTGCTGTGCCATGAATGCTCAATTGATTCCCCCACTGCTGGAAAACAGCAGGGAACAATGAAACACACAGGTTCAAACCACTCGGTGTTCACTGCATTTAGACAAGGTGAAGCTTGCTGCAAAGATAAGGAAGGTCAGGCTGCTCGGGTGGAGGCAGGAGCAGAGCTGAAGCACCCATCTGCTTCCTCTGGGGATTGCTCTCAAGCCAGGTCCTTGCTCTGAATCTCAGTTACTTTTAGGAAGGGAGAAAAACTCCGGATTTACTTAGAAGCATTAACTTCTCCCTTGGGTGGGAGTGAGTTTGCTGTTCAGTTTGATGTGTGAGCTGAGCTGAATTGCTTTTTGCTGAGCCTCAGAGGTGCCTTAGCACAAAGCTCCTTTGGAGCGGTAGGAGGGTGGATGTGGATGGTGGCTGGCTCCTCAGCCTCTTCTTTTGCAGGATGAAGGATGGTGATGGGTCTGTGGTGTGGAATTCTTGCAAGAGAACAAATCTGAGATTCAATTGACTGTTGGGACATCTACCACTCGTGGCAGAAAGTCCTTCCCCCCCTTGTTTAATAGGATCTGACTGCTTCTTGGGCTTCTTCGATGACATACTGGTATTTGTTTATTGGAATTAACGATTTATACCTCTGATAATTTGCCTCTCCTGACACTGCTCCAGCACCCTGGTAGTGTTCATGTAAGTTAGCTCTCAGTGGCCTTTTGATAGTGTAAGATGGTCCTGACATGCTCATTTACATCTGCAAGAGGACCAGAGGGAAAAGAATAGTGCAATTTCCAGTCTATTTCTAAATATTCTAGAGAATATTTCCTTTCCTGGCAGCTGTCCTGGCCAGTATACTGAGAAAGAAAACCAGGAATAGGCAAACCAGTGCTGGATTTTGCTGTCCCATTCCTTAGTGGGTTTTGTGATTTAAGACCTTGCCCTGTTGACATTTTTGGGAAGGGAATCAAGTCCCAGAGCAGCAGAGCTGATTCCTTAGACCTGGGTAAGTAGGGAAAAATCACCTGTTTTTCAGCCTGTGTTTGGCCATAATATAAGAGGAAAATACTATACGTGCAGCAGTGCAGTTGAAAGGACGAATTAATTCTCTAATTGAGCTTCTGGGTCACAACTAGTATATATTACTGCTGGAGAAACAATAGATGATTTTATGTCTATTTTAAAGCCTTCAACGCAGCTTGATGCAAAGCCCACCTTTTTCTAGGTGGCAAAGCGCTGACTTTGTGTGCCTTCCTAACCACCACCTGCCTTCCCGGGCAGGGAGTTGGCTCTCGAAGTCCAGCTCTGCTGGAAAAAACTCAAACCAACCCCTCTGTTCCCTGTCACCCCTCTCCTGCAATTGCCAGGTGCCGCGGGAGCCGCTTGACAGACGAGCTCTGATCCCCATCACGTCGTAAATGAGCACGGCCATTCTGCTTGCGATTCGACGGGGACGGGGGAGGCAGGAAGGCTGGATAAATGGGGGCATTGCTACCGCTCGCCAAAACAACCTACACGCGGTATCTGCAGAGGTGTTTTAAGTGGAAACGTGCCCAAAGCTTAACTTTATGGAAACATTTCCAGCTCTCTAATACAGGGATGCAAAAATAACCAGCAGTGTGTGCCCCCACCCCCAGGCTCAAGACCGATGGGTGAATTAGTGGCTCTCAAAACCCCAGGCAGGTGTGTATGCACAGGGGGAAGTGCGTGCTGTGTGTCATAAAGAAAGAATGTCCTGTGATTGCTGTATCAAAGTCCATTTCTTCTCCCCTGCTATATTGCTTTTATTGAGCACTCTTGATTTTTGAAATGTTTTTCTAAACAGTTAGGATCCCAGCCTGCAATACCCTGGAACCAGTAGGTTCCCATGGATTTCACTGGGCTTTGCTGGGTCCTTGAGTCCTGGCAGCACAGCTGCAGATTCACAGGGGAGGAATGGAACTGGGACTCAAAGCAGCAGAAATAAGGACTGGCACCTCCCACCCTGGCCTGAGACAGATCTCAGACCTCTTCTGTTGCTACACAATGCAGAACAAGAGGGTTTTCAGGTTGTATCTTAGATTGTTACACCCTGTCAGATAAATGAATCCTTTTCATAAACAGGTGGTTTCACTGACAATAAAAATTCTTCAGTTAGAGGTGACTCATGCACAAACAGCTCACTATTACCAAGGTGGTTTGAACCAGATGGAGGTTAGTAAATATGACTATTACATGGCTTAATATTGAAATAGTCAGCCTTCTTTATTTGAGAATTTTGTTTTAGTAGCCAGAGGAGGAGAAAAACGCTTCTGTAAATCTGGAATTTGTGCTGTCCTAAATCAGGAGCAACAAGGTACCAGTCAGAGGTGGCTTTTTCTGAATTATGTCCATAGCCAAAATACTTGCTCAGCATCTCCCAGCCTGCAGTGTGATGGAGAATCTCTTCAGCCTCTGCTTGTCGATGGTACAACCTTCATCAACGCGGTTTCAGGCAGGTGGGGACAACGCTGTCACCCGAGATTCGGTGCCTCTCCCAGGTTCCTCCAAGGCATGTGTAAATCTTTTCGTTGTGCTATACAGTAAAGCTGGGCAAACTTTAAACACAAAATATTTCTTTCAGCGTGGAAAGATCTATGACTACAGTTGATGATCATGTTGCTGAATTAACTTGGCCTTGGCTAAACAAAGGAATCATTCAGTCAGAGGAGAATGACCCAGTTACAGATTCGAGACAGTTATTTTTGGTTTTCTTTTTTTAAAGAAAAAACCCCTCAACCTTTTTAGCTTAAGGGGAACAAAGTATTTGATGAATCAACTTTGCAGTTCTGATCCTTCATCCCCAGTGAGACAGTGAGCGTTTCCCATCCCTGTGGTTACTGATCTCTCTCATTCCTCATATACCCATTAGTGGAGCCTCCCAAGTACAGATCGTGCCTTGACTCAGCTACTGGCCTTCCGCCCCGAAACAGCACCCTGCCTGGCAGGAGCACCCAAGCTGGGTCCTCCTTGCCTCCCAAATCTGCACCCTGACATTACATGTGTTTCATTTGATGGATGCTACTTTGCAGAAACCTTTAGGAAGCCTCAGTAAGGGGGAAGGGAGGCTGCTGTTCAGATTTCCAGTTCTTTTTATTACTTACTGATTTGTATCCACTCAGTAATTTTCTGGCTATTGTGTATCTTGTGCTCTGTAAAATGAAAGCTACTAAGGATGTACCACAGATGCACGATATCCCAGTAACAGAGTAGGGCAGAGTCCTGCCTGGTGGCAGTGGGCAGCATCTGAAATGGGAAATTCAATTCCGGTATCAGGTGTTGAAGAATAATTTAATTTTCAACAGATAGTTTGAAAGTATTAGCTCTCTGAAGCTGGGAGCTGAAATGGTTTCAGAGGTCTGTTTGAAGTGGTACTCACACCCTTCTCGGGCTGAAGGAATCTTTTAATGGCTAAGGTTACTAGTCACATTTAGAAAACAGTTGGAAAACGCTTATAAAATCAGTAAATATACAGGCTGCTCTTTCCAGATCTACAATTTTACGCTACCAAAGTGCAGGAGCAGGCATATTTTCAGCTATCCACTTGGAGGCCTGTCCTCGTCCACTAACAGACCTGAGAAGTCACTGGCGTGAGCGAGGGTGGGTCTGAACTCACGTCAGCTTTCTGTTGTAGTCACATTGCAATCTTTTCTGTCACGGGATAGCTGTTGTTTGTCATGTAACTTTTAGAGCTTCAAGTTAGGTGGTAAAATGTTTTTTCTTCTTCATGTTAGATGAATGAAGCTACTTTAAATTCTATTATGTAAAGGAGTTTTTACACCTTTTTATGCTGAGTTTATTTTTTCCTTCCTTAAAGATATATTACTGAATATTGGGTACAGAATTCTTCACACTTATTTGCTCAGTGATCTGAATCTCAACCTGAAATAATAATCTAAAATCCTAAAGCATTAAAAATATGTATTTATCTAAAACTTGTATAACAGCAGTAACATGAAGGCAACAATGCATTATTGTGTTTATATTGTATTTTATCCTATTAATACTGAGCCACGTGTGTTTTAAGGCAAATTGCTCAAGACTAGATCGTAGCAAAATTTCCATTGACTTCAGCAGGGCTAGGTTTTTACCACTAAGAAAATATTATGAACCCCAGTTCAGTGAGCCTACACTTAGTAGGCTTTAACAGATAGTTGCCTAATTATCACTGTCAAATTTTGGTTAGTATTTTATGAACTCACTCTTCTTTTTTTCTTCTGCAGTCAAATCAAGATGACGACCGCTGCACCACTGATCAATAATACTCAGTTCTCAGTAAATGTGACCACAAAGTCTCAAGAACAAAGTCTCTATCAAAGTAAGAAAAGTAGTGGGGCAGTGGCTTTTTTTTTTTTTTTTTTTTTTTAAGTGGACCTTGAACTTAGCAAACTTCAAACAGTACAATGACAACTTTGTAAATACGACTTTTTTTTCCCTTTCTTCTTCCCTGCTAGGTTCTGGAGCAATAGTTGCTGCCATCGTAGTAGGAGTGATCATTATTTTTACAGTGGTTCTGCTCATATTGAAAACATATAACAGGTATGTGGCCAAGTTCTGTATTTTACGAAGGCCAGACAAGATGAACCAGAATCAGTGTTAGGTGTGCTCTCACCTGACAGACCATTTCGGTATTTGTTGCTGAAAATTTCCAGGAGAATCTGAACTATATTGTGCTCGATTGAAGCCACTGTCGGTGTTCTGTGATTGAACTGCTGGGAAGCAGAGGAAGGTTCTTGACAGAGGATGTATGATGGAAGCTCTTTTTAGGGATGCCTGTTGATACAGAAAAGGTCTGATGTGTACATCAAGGCTGCCAGAGAGGAGCTTGATTTCTAGAAGCACCGACTTGCCATTTAGTATCTTTGGGATGAAATCCCGGCTTGCATTGACTTTTAAGTAGTTGTTCAATGTAACCTGCTTCCCTGGGAACCTTCCCAATGCTTATCATGGGAGGGAGCACAACACGTGCCAGCTCTGGTGACAATTTCATTTCTACCTTTACAGACGCATGAGAGTGAAGCGGGAGCTGGAACCCAAAAGCACCAAAACAGCAATGCCGCCTGCTTTAGGGCAGAACAGCAACAGCCTGTCTCAGCATCCTACAGTGACCTTCATACCTGTGGATATCCACATGCAGAACAGATAACTGGGAACGCTCGTCCTCTCTGCGAGAGAAGAGAGGTGGAATCCTTATTTACATGGACCTGAGACTCCTCAGCAAAGCGATGCTGCATTTGGAATAGATTGTCATTGATTCCGCTTTCTCTCTTTGGGAGGAAAAATAAGGGCTGGACACTCTTTGTATGACTGAAATCAACCGGTGGAGGCATACAAATCATCAGAAACGCAGGGAGCCTTTGTACAGGGCTCTGGGTATGGAGAGTCCGGAAAAACCAAGCCCATTCCTTGGAAGAAAAGATGCACATTTGTACTTTGTGGAGCTTTTGCTTACTCAGAGAGTCTTGAGTTTTTCTGTTTGGCAATGACTGATGATAAACTGGCAGAAAAATTTGGACATGCAAGCTACAACTCAGGTTGAACCTGGGTTTGTTATGATTTATGTGAAATAGGTTTGTAGTCTATTATATACATGATGGATAGTACAGGAAGTATCAAAATTGTATTTATCTTTACTCATCTTTCGTGTTTCTAATGCCACATATGTATGGTTTGAGATAAAATAGTTACTTTTTATTTTCAAGTATTTTTAAAATATTTCTATAAACTTGGTAACCTATCCATTTCCAAATGAACTCAATGTCTAAGGGTTCTCACTCTCACACCAAGAACTGCTTTAGGTTCATTACTGGAGGTGCATTATAATGTTTTGTCTTAGACAAAATCTGAGAAGTTCTTTAATTGAAAAAGTAAGCGTGGAAAGGCAGTATGAAGCCAGCAAGGCTTTACACAGTTACTATGTACAACCCACATCCTGAAATGCTTTGTTCTCTAAGGCAGACTAGGCTTGGACTATTTTTAGATTTATTTTTTTTCTAGCAAGTAACCAAAATGGATGTTGTTTTGCAAGTGTGATGACTGTGGGTGTACAGTACTGCAACAAAGAAATTCCCAAGGATATTCACAGCCCACTGAGTTCGAACACACAGCGGCATTGTCAGACATTCAGCGACTGATTGTCTCAAGTGCGTGTATCAAAGCAGCCCTGAAACACTGGCTGACAGGCCAGATAGGAAGGATTAGGAAGAAGTTGAGGAGTTAAACCCTGTTTTAAATAGAAGTACATGAGGCTCTGAGAAACGTCTCCACTTTTTGATACATCCATCTTAAATTTTATGGAGCCGCTCACTTGAATGGCTGGCCAGAGTGTGAAGTGGAAACAGCGGTAACATCATCCTCTGGATTTATTGTACTTTGGGTCTTGGATTGAGACGCTGCCAGCGGTCAGCTCGCAGCTACTGTGGCCATTACAGGGCTCCACCCGGTTTGTAGACCTTAGTAAAACTGTTAATAGGGTGTTTTTGACTCCTTTTTTGGAGCTGTAGAGAAAGGAGTTGTTGTTGTCTAACTAACTTGACCACAGAGAGCCTCCAGCTTTAAAGCTTTTTGTCCTGCAGCAGTTGGTTCGGTTGCTGGTCTTCCCAATACTGTCACATGTCACCAGTAGTTACATCCTTAAATAATGAAGCGCCAAAACAAAGCTGAACGATTCTCAGAGTAAAGTGATGAGGGGCTGGAGTGATAAGTTGATATATTTTTTCCATGATGTGAATGCATCTCTTGAACAGGTCATTTTTACTGACTGGTATTTTTGTGCAGAAACTAAATTCAATTACTTTGCAATTTTTTTTTTTTTTTTGGTATGAACTGGAGCACAGTTTGAATTCCAGACTAAATATTAAGACAGCTGTTTTTGAAGTTTCTAAATCTTATTGTTAATATTTCACTTGTCCTAGTTCTCTAACTTATTTTTTGTGGCAGGAATGATGGCTATAATAATTCAGAAGGGACGGCAGGTGCCAATTTATTTTTTTTCTGAAAATGTAAAGGAGTTGGCCTCCTGTTCCTGTCTCTAGACAGCTAAGAATGTTCCACTGTATCAAAATCAAGATCTTTAGAAAAGATAAGCCCCATTTTACTGTATTTTTTAACATTACCAACCAGACCTATTTCTAGCAAATTTTGTTCACTTTCAATTTACAGAATTTCAAAACAATGAAGTTCACTTTGCTTCACTGAAGCAGAATAAACAATACTTCTATAAGCAATTCTAGATTAGTAGAATTACTGTTATTGGCAGGAGAATTACTGCTCACTAGCATTGCTCAATCTGAAAAATTCAAAGTGTGCTGTTTTACCAGAAAAATTTGCCTTCTGTTGGCACAGCCTGGGAGGCCCCCACAATCCATTCTGACTTCTGTCAGCAAAATCCAGGGTTTATGCTGACCAAGCGAAATCACCTTAAGAAACAAAAATCACTGTATTTCCACTGCACTACTGCTGTAACACTCGTGTAATTTGCTGTGGATTTAACAGCTTTCTGGGAACAATCCCCTGTTGTCCTTGTCCTATAATAGTAGCTGCTTCAGCGCTGAATCGACCTGCCCTAAGCATCTGGCTTCCACTTTCAAACCCCCAGCTTTTGGAAAAGCTCCCCTTTAGCTGCCTTTGTGTCCAGACTTGCCATCAGGTAAAACTGTTGGTTAAAAAAAAAAAAAAACCCACAAGTGAAAGCTGATATTGCAAACTGGTCTATTAAAGAAATCCCAGATCATGTACGCCTTTGAGAGAATAGGCAAATGTAAGGGTAATGCATTAATTGTGATTCACACAAACTCCTTAGAGATTATCCACGAAGCTCTGCAAATTAATACACAGTTGAATCCTTAGTGGCACAGTGCCTGAGTGCCTTTTTTCTCAGCAATGTGATACAAGCAACCTTTCTAGTTCCTTACTCTGTTCTTTGGTTAAGTTTCTCTCTTTCCAAAACAGCAGCGGGGCTGTATTCAGCAATGACAATGAGAACATTTGGTCTGCAGGTCATATGTTGAAATATGACTAAAATTTTTTTTTCTAGGGGCATACTCCATAATTGGTCTGCAGTGGGTCTTACAAGAATTAGTATTTTTTTCTTGCTCCAAGTCTTCTAGAATTAACTGCTTCAGGAAGTTGGTTCCTTGTCTCACAGTTGCCACTTTACTGATGGAAGGACACTGGTAAAATGTTTAAATTTTCACTTCTGGGTGAGTCCCGTTTCCCAAAACTTCTGCAAGGCAGCCGTCACCCCTTCTGGATCCATCATCCATCCACCTTATTTCAGCAGAGAGCACGCGGCTCCACCTAGTGTCCTCCTCCCATCCAACAGGTTGCAACTCGTATTTCCCAACAGGCAAAAAAATCGAGTAATTAATTCAGTTTATCGCCGACTTTATTAAATTTAAGAAGCTACCTGCCCTCCCAGCCCAGTCCTCTTTCCCCTTACTCTGCAGTGTCAGGATTGTTAAGTAGCCGAGTTGAATGTTATCGCAAGTTTGGCTGTACAAAATGTAGGGGTCACTGGCCGATCACTGGAAGCCTAAGCAGATAAAATGTGAGAATGTTCTTTGGGTCTTAGATTTCTGAGTCCCATAACCAATCTGTTTTCCAAAAAGACATCTGTAAAACCCTGTGTCTCTCACATGTGATGCTTACCACTGACTGCTGATAAAGCTGGTAGCGACTGTTGTGCTTTAAGCATAACCTAACTTCATTTAAAAGAATCTACTATTTTATTTTTAAAGATAAAAGACATAGGAGCTTTAGTTAGAACCCACGTCTGTTGCTTTGGATAAATCTGTGTTAACCGGAGTGAACTGTGGCTTTACTCTCCTGTCCTCTGGCGCATCTCTCCGCCAGTAACGGGCCTCACACCAGTTTTACCCGCTCGGGCCACGCCAGTTCGCGGGGGGGGCGGTAGGGAGGGCCCGACTGCTCATGACAATTCGCAGCAAGGTGACCCAACACCGCCCGCTGCCTTTGGTGCCCGGCGGGGCGGTGAGCCCGCAGCCCCCGGGGCTGCTCCCGGAGCACGGCGGGGCCGCAGAGCCCTGGGCCGGCTGCGGCCCTCCCAGCAGTCATCCCTCCAGGCCCCGGTGAGAGCAGACATCGCGGGGCTCCCTGCCCTGCCGAGGAAGAACCCGACCTGAGGCGAGGAAGCGGTTCTGGTGGGGTGGGCGGGGGGAGAGCGCCGGGAAGGAGCCGCTGCGCCCGCCCAGGGCGGCTGACGAGGCGGGGACCGCCATTACCCCCCTCCGCGCATGCGCCATTGGCCGCCAGGTCACCTGACCCACGCCCCGCGCCGCTGAACGGCCAACATCTCGCGAGAGGTGGAGTCACAACGAGCGTTCCTCCATTTCCCCCCCCCCCAATCCATCCATCCGTCCATCCAAACATCCATCCAATCCAGAGCGCCTTAACAAAACGTCATCCACCCGCCCCCTCACCCCGCCGGAACACCGCGCTCCCCGATTGGCCATCTTCCGCGCGCGCACCGACCCTCCGCGGCCGCGGCCACCAATCGGCAGGCGCCGGAGGGGGTGCGCGGCGAGTCCGGTTCCGCCCCTTCACTCCCCCCTCTCCTCTTCCCGAGCGCGGCGAGTGTGCGAGGGGGGCGCGCGGTGCACGCCGGGACGGCAGCGCGCTGCGACCAGGAGGAGGCGGAGGAGGCAAGATGGACGCGGGGTTCTTCCGCGTAAGTGCCGGCCTCAGGGAGGGGGCCGGGCGGGAAGAGGCGGCGGGAGCGGCCCCGGTAGGGGGGACGCGCGGTTGAACCGGGTCGCTGCAGGCCGCGCTGGCGCCGCGCTGTCCCGGAGGAACGCCGTCGTGCCGCCCCCCCCCCCCCCCCCCCCCGCCCCCGCCCTGCGCAGGCTCCTGTGAGGAAGCCGCCGCGAAGAAAATGGCGGCGGGAAGGAGGCTGCTGCGCCTCGGCCCATCCGCGAGTCTGCGGGCGAGGGAGGGGAGCGGCCGGGAGCGGGATTCGTTGACCCGGGCCCCGGCTCGCCGTGGGGGGCGGCTGCTCCTTGCACGGACACGGGCTCCATCGCCGCCCCCGGGGGCCGCGCTCGCCCGAGCGGGCCACGCATCCCTGCGCGGCCTGGGGCCGCCGGTTCCCGCGCTGGGCCTCTGAGGAAGAAGGGTCCCGCCGCCTCGGGGCCTGCCCTAGGCGGCTTGCGGAACGGCTGCTCCCCAGCTCCGGTCTGACGGCCCCCACATGCGAGGAGGGGTGGGAGAAAAGGCCGAGCGGCGGATGGGAGGCAAACGCGATTTTGCAGCGAAAGGCACTTTGGTGCCCACGTTCAAAGCAAATAAACAAAACTGTCTTTTTTTTTTTTTTTTTTTTTTTTAAGCGAGAAATTTTTAAACTGTGGTACAAAGGTTATCAAGTGTATTAAAAGCAAAAAGAAGTTATGCTTTTTTCTAGGTTGATATCTTAATTTTTTGTAGTCATTGAGTTCTTATTTTCTATTCTTACAGCTGTGCTGTATTTTCTGCAGACTACTAATCAGTAACCTATGTAGGCTGTATTCCTTTTCAGCCTTTTCTCCCGTTAATTAGAAAGAACCAATTTTGGGGGTTCCTTGACAATTTTGAAAACCAGTTTGACTTTCCAAGATTCATTCACCTTTTCAGCCCATTTATTTTGTATTCCTGTAACTTTTAAAACATGTGGGCATACATAACCCTTCACTTTATGGATTTTGTGTTAATGTACTAGCCTGAGAAAAATAATTACAAGTTATATCTACACTTGTTCTGTCTAATGCAGTTGTTCAAAAAGTTCACAAATCAAGTAGTTGTAATTGATAGCAGAATTATTGGGACTGAAAACAGTGAACTAGAAATCTAATACTCTTTTAAACTGGCCTGCGAAAGGTGACTGTTTATAAAAACAAAAGTAACATGGCACCGGAATGGAGCTGTAAACGGTGTTCTGGTCTAGTTTTAATCTGGATTCAGGAGAAACTGAAGTTCTTGTGGGATTTACAAAAGTTTAGCAGAGCAGCAGTTTGGCCTCACCTTATCAAGAAAGCTGCTATTAATAATTCTTGCAGTTCTTCACGCTTCTGTAAAGTTGTCAGTGTAAACTACTTTGTCTCTGCTTTGAAATTCCTGTGATACTGTGCTCTGTGTCCTGTTTGGTTACTGTTGCTGCTTGCCATGTGGTATAAACAGGCAAAGAGAAATTTCATTCCATTTCACTTCTGGGTTGTGAAAGAATGTTTTTTTTAAAAAAAGTACACAATATTAAATTTTTGAGTGGTCTGACAAGGACTGCATTTACTGCTAATGTGTGAGCCACACAGTAGACGTCAAATATTCTGAGGAGTTTTAGACGGACTTAATCCTGGTAAGTGCCTGTGCCTCAATCAGGCTTTAGCATTCCTGTGTTCCAGAACAGCAAATGGGAATGTTACTAGCTTGTTCCCTTCCAATGTCTGATGACTTTGTAGCATGTTATATTTCTAATTCAGGGTGCTTTCTGCTCAAATGAAGTGGTTAGGTTACCTTAGAACTTGAGTTTTTTCTTATTTATTATCTTTTGGTTCCTTAGCAACTTAATTATTGCTGGTACTCAACTCCTTCTTCCATGCATAGAAAATTGCATGTATTAAATTCCTGTGTTTTCTGTAAGTCAAGTTGGTTTCCTCAATAAACTTTATGTGAACCGTAGGTTTGGTTTGAATTATTAACAGGTCATCAGTATTGGGGTGCAGTTCTGCACATACTCTTGTTCATGTGTAGTTCTGTTTACTTCTGGGCAAGTAAACTTTCCAGAACTGGATTTTCAAGCCTTTCAATTCCAAATGAATTAACCTATAGTTTCTGTTCATGAAAGTGGAACGAGTTGGTGAACTTTAACAGAGCATGATCAATAAAATAGTATTCTTTGTACTTTTGCTGGCTTCATGTTGGCTGATTTGCTTCAGAGAAATTTACCCAAAGGTTTCATAGATGTCATTGCAAAACAAATGTGACTTCTTTTGTTCTTGGACAGGGGAAAAAGAGTTTATTCCTTCTAAGGAGTTTCTGAATCCCAGCATAAGTCCTTTTCATAGTAATTTGGTACTATATTTTTAAATTTGGAAGTAGTATGCCAGGGAGATTATATGATTAAGGTGTCACTGTGTAAGATCTTAGGTGTCACTAAGATCTTAGGAGCTTGCTTACCCCTAAATCTTTGACCAGAAGATGAAGACTGTAGTGCTAAGATTGTAAGGCACCTGAAAAGGCTTATTTGCTTACAGAATTGTATGACTGGTATTGGGTGCAGAATACGTGGGAAGCTAATGCTTGAAGATAGTTGAATGTCATACAGACTAAAAATCTTATTTCCTGTGCTTTAGGGAACAAGCGCAGAACAGGACAATCGCTTCAGCAACAAGCAGAAGAAGCTGTTGAAGCAGTTGAAATTTGCAGAATGCTTAGAAAAGAAGGTAAGCTGATTAGGAGGATGAGTTAGGTAGTAAGACACATGAATCAAAGACAGTTTTCAGGGGGATTAATCTGGTATTGATGGTACATACAGCAATATGAGGGATGTCTTCTCTGAAACCATACTGGAGGATATTTGGAATGTCCACTTGAGCATCAGAGATACAGTGGTGGTATACATGATCTAGTTACAGGACTGAGTATTACCAGTAGGCTTTTATGTAAAATACAGCTTCAGAACAAGTCTGGTTTCCAATAAATGTTAAGTAATTTAGAATTCTAGGCACCCTTAAATGTTGCTCTCCAACACCCTTTTTGCAGTGATATTTTTTTGTTATTATTTCAGGTTTTCTAGAGTAGCGTGTTGGAAATTCATACTGGTTATCATGAAGGTGAAGTTACTGCGTGCTAGGGCA